CTTTCATCTATATTTTCAAATTCGAACTTATGCATTTGTTCATAGTATCCTTTTTATTTTTTAGGGTTTGCATAGTCTTTCTTTTTATTCCTAATAACAGTTATCTTCACCTTCTTTCTCAATTTATGGATCAGAAAATAAAAACCGACAGCTTTGGGGCTGTTCATCGAGTCCCTATCGTTTACCCTGCCCACCTGGCAGAAAGCCTGCTTGAGATCAGCTGGCCTCAGTGACTCTGTGTTCAGCCTCAATCACCCTCTTCACATAGAGCAAAGGGAACCCAAGAATGCCTTCTGGCATTATCAGCTTTGCTGACTTTCCTCTCAGGTATAGCATCTTACTTTGTAGGATGGTGCTTTACCAATTTCATTTGAATTGCTAAGAGTCCTCCTGCCATCTTCCTGCATCCCTATTTACATTCTCCTGAATTTGTTTACTGTTTCTCCTGACCTGTTCAGAATTACAGATGTATCTCACATCAAAAGCAGTGCTTCTGTTTCCCTGGGTTGTTTTGTTTCATTTTAGTTATTTTTGCTTTGGGATGATTTCCAAAAAGCGGAGTAATAAAGATATCATTTTTATAAAAATGATCTAAAACAAGACCAGATGACTTTTATAGTCAACCTGGTAAGATTTGCCTGGAATTGTCGGTAAAAATATATTTGAGGACAACTGTCCTTCACAAAATAGTGTGTTTTCCAGCTCGACGCAGTGGCATATGCCTTTAACTCCAGCAACTTGAGAGGCTGAGGCAGGAGGATCACCAGTTTAGGGGAGCCTCCGCAATTCAGTGAAATCCTACCTTAAAATAAAAAACTTAAAGGAATAAAATTTTAAAAAACTGGGGGACATAGCTTAAGGCTAGAACACCCTGGGTTCATTCTTGGGACCAAAACATCGCATTTTCCAATTCTGGAACATGACGTTTCTCATCATTTCTTTTATGTCATTCAATAACATTTTCATTGTTATAATTTGTGCTACTTTGATAGTATGGCACAGATACTTTAAAACTTATTCACAACCATTTCATATTTTTCCTTTGTACTGTGAACTAGATGGTCTAATAGATTATGGTTGTATATGAAAAACCTATTGCTTTTTGCATTTTAATCTTTTATCTATTAGCTTTAGCAGCAAAAAAATTCTAGCAGTGTGCTATTTCATTGTCTTGTGTCTTCTAGGAAGATAGCCATGTGAACTGCAAATGTAATAATAGAATTTTTTCCCTCTTCCCTTCAAATATTTACACGCCTGATTTGTTTCTGTGTGTTACTGCATTAGCCAGAAACTCCAGTATGAATAGTGGTGATTAGTATCCGTATGTTCTTTTCCAGAGTAAAGAGAAAGGCTTCAGTGCTTCATTATCATATATAACTTAATTGAAACCTCTTTCTGTTTCTTTTGCAAACACTACTTGGTCATAATCTACTTTAATTAACTTTTTAATGCTATTTTTTAAAAGCCTAGGTTATTTGTTAGCTTTTACCTAGGAATTCTGCACTTCAAGATTTTAGTGATTTTTACCTGTGGTTTCTCTTCTCTGTGCACAATCTTTATTTAATTTTTACATGAGAATCACCCTGGCTTCACAGAATAAGTTAGAATTGTTTTCCAGGTTTTAGATTCTCAGGAGGAGTTTAAATAACAAAGGAATTATCTGTTCCATGAAAATTTGGTAGGTATCACCCAGGTCTGGTGATTTTTAAAAAAATAGATCTTTGGGCTGGGGTTGTGGCTCAGTGGTATAACACTTGCCCAGCATGTGTGAGGCATTGGGTTCTATCCACAGCACCACATAAAAATAAATAAAATAAAGATATTGTGTTCATCTACAACTAAAAAAAAAATTTTAAAGGAGAACAGATCTTTGATTACATTTTTAATCTCTTAAGTTTTATTTACCTATTCAGATTTTCTATTTCTTGAGTTAATTTTGAGTAATATTTCAAGAACTTAAACAATTTGCCTAAATACTGAAATTTATGTTAAGAAATAGCATATTAAAATAGGTGATTAATAGATATTAATGAATAAAGGAATTCATCATATAATCTTAATATTCTCCAGGTCTGTAGTTAAATTATACTTCTTATTTCCAATGAAGTTTGTAAGATAATGCTTTTCATTATTAGATATGCCAAAGTTTTACCCCTTTTATTGTTTTTCTGAAAGAAACAATATTTGTCATTTTATAAGAGAAAGAAGCATGTTATTATTTCAAATAAAATAGAATTTTTCTTGGAGGTTTTTATATTCATTGCTAATTTTTATGTCATATCTGGTGAAAATAGACTGAATAATTTAATTTCTCAGAATATATGTTGAGATATGTTTTGTTCAAATCTAACTACTGGTGAATATTTGTGAATCCCCTATCTATGTTTTCTTTTAATTTTTTGCCACTTTATGAATACAAGATCACAAAAACAAAAATTACATTTATAATTAAATATTTATATCTATAGTTTGTTAGCTATCTTATTCAAAACTTCCAAATCTTATTTTCTCAATCTGATAATTTCTGAAGTCTCCTGCAAATTATAATTTATTTGTCTTAGTATTTTTATGAGTTTTTGCTTTCTATAGTGAGTCTATGCTTTTGGTGATGAAATTTTCAATAGTATCAAGTTTTAGTGAGTTGCACATATCAATTATTTATTATTTTTATTTGACTTGTTTTCTTTTTATTTGAACTTAGCTAGCACATTTTTCTTTATTTTCAACATTTGTGTTATTTTCTTTCAGACATGACTTTCATTGACAGCAACAATTTTATTTCAATTTTTATCTTTTCCAAGAATCAGTTTTTGTGAGTATTGAAATATTTGAATTTATTCCTGATTCTTCTCAGAATTTTAAAGCCATCAGGTGTCTTTGACGGCAGTCGTTCGTATTTTCTAGATATTTAATGATTCTGAATTGGACTCAGCTTTGAATTTGAGATTTTCTTTCACATGTGGGTGTGTTTTCTGATTTCTTTGTTCTACTTCTGGTGACTATGAGAGAAAAACAGGGTATGCAAAGAAACAACTTGTAGACTGGAACTAAGGCAAGTGTTTCTGTGAGATATCACCTATCTTATTGGTTAGATCTGCATATTTAAACAATCAAGAATTTTGAAAAATGACATCTGAGATATCATTTGAAATTCATAAAAAAGTTATACACACAGAGTACAGTAAGTTAAAAAGATGGGAAAATGTTTATTTTTAAAACTTGGTGATGGTTACCTAGATATTCATTATGTTAAATTAGACTTTTGTGTTTAAAATTATTCATGATATAAAGTTAAAATAGTTTAATGAATGTTTTAAAGTAAGACATTTTGTGATTTTGTGACATTTTCACTTTTTTTTTTTTTGGGGGGTATTAGGGATTGAACCCAGAGGGACTTAACCACTGAGCAACATCCCCAGACCTTTTTTTATATTTTAGTTAGAGACAGGGTCTCGCTGAGTTGTTAGGACCTCACTAAGTTGCTGAGGCTTACTTAGGGTCTCATGATCCTCCTGCCTCATTCTCTGGAGTCACTGCATCACAGGTGTGCACCACCATGCCCGGCTTGCGATCTATTTTTAATAGTATAAAATAAAATAGATATTATTTAAATTTCAATAATTTTATAAAATACATATGTGTTGGAGGTTTGGGTATCTAATATTCTTTAAATGAAATTAATCTCTGCCACGTAATAGCTGAACAAGAAATAGTGTTTGGGTAAGAGAAGACATTAATGAAGGCATGTCAAGACAGAGTGAGGAGACATGCCTAACTAAAGGAACTGGGGTATCATGTGGTTGGAAATCAGACTAAAAAAATGAAATATTCTAAAGTCATACAGAAAAGTGAAAATTTACCATGATAGAAAATCAGACACTGTAGTTGAATGGGCAGATGAATTTTCTGGAAGTAGTATGTATAATTTTCTGCAGGAAAAAAAAAAAACAATACAAAAATGAACCTATTAGATCTAAATGAACAATTATATTAAGAGGGAATGTTTATGATGTTATTCTTTTCATACTGCTAACACAATTCTTCCTGGTATATTGAAGACAGGAGAAATTGAAAGTGATTTGGATAAAATTCAAAGACAAGGGGAAGGCTTGACCTTGGCCCCAAGGGCATAAAGAGAAGACAAGTACAATACAGGCCAGGCTGCAGGTTTTGATGAGATAAGGGACTGTAAGTCTGAGGTAAGGGTGAGGTATCAGCTAAGAATGACCTTGGAAGAAGGGCTATGGGACCTCTAAAAAGAAAGAAGAAACTAATACTAAGAAGAAGTCTACCAAGTGGGATTAGTGCCAAGTTGAGGCCTCAGATCACGAATTCACAGAGAACACAGGTCATTTGCTTGGGCTATTCTGTCCAGCAACACAGAACCTCTCAGATGGAGGCACATAGAAGAGACAGCACTGTTCTCCTAAGGCTGGGTTTTTTTTCAGGTGAATATCACAGAGAAGGGAAGAAAGTTGATGGTATCTGCAAAGGACTGATTGTATTGAACCATGGAATTTACCTGGATGGAAAGAAAAATAGTAAGAAGAAAATGATGGGCAATCAATGGATTGACTGTCCAAATAACATCAAAGATGGCACCCATGGGTTATTCCAACAAACAATCTAGAAAAACCAAAGATTGCTGCCAGAAAACTTCAGATTTGAGACTTCAGATCGAACAATTGCTGGCAATGCCAAGGTCCAAGTTGTGACCATGGGACAAAGTAGCTGAGTTGGAATGAATTATTACACAGATGATCCCAAGAGACTCAAGATTATCCCTTATAGCCTATCCTTCCCTTTTTTGTCCACAGTTCCTTCACTATAAGTAAATGAATGTTTGCGAGGGGGCATGTGGTGTTATCATATGAGATATATATACAATATATATCAAATTATATATATATATATATAATATATATTGTTTTATATATATAATATATATATATATAAATATAATATATTGTTATATATATAACAAATCTTATTTATTCCAGGATGCTAGGATTATGTGGCATACAGAAGAGCCAGGGAGCAAGAAGATGGCAGGGACCCTTCTGTGACAAGGGTAAGAGGGTAAGAGAGAACCTACGGGAGAAATGATGAGAATGAGAGGCTTAAGGGCACCTGGCCAATTTTCACATACTGCACACTGGATTTGAGGTGCAACTACGAGAAGTTTAGAATTGAAATTAGTTAGGTAAGTTTGATTCTATCATAATCAGCTATTTTAATAATACCATAAAGAAACTCAACGATTTTAGAAAGGATTACCCAGGAGATTAGCGTCTCTTTGGTATCAACAGTAGTTCAAAGCAGGATCTGACTTTAAGCTAGATGAGGATATATTGTTTTGTCACTCAGTGGCTGTCCAATAGTGGGAAGGTCAGTATGCTCTTGTTAAATTATGAACAACATAAGTAGCCTTCTGCCTTCCTGTGGCGGCTCGGGGAAGATACAACTGTACCTGAGCCAGAAGTGCCCACTCAGCCGTATGAATGTCTTAAACCACCAATAATTTCTGTTCCTTCCCACACTTTTTCACAGGTAGTCTCAGCGCTTACCTCTAGAGATAAGCAAAGGAAGAGAGATTAACTTAAAGTGCACCATGTTACAGAGATGTATGCTTTGCTTCATTTGTTCACCAAAGATTTATTGAGAATGTCCTGTGAGGTGAACATTGTGTGGATAGAGACTAGAGAGAGTTCCAAGCCTCAAGAGATTACAATTTAGAGAGAATGGACAAACAAATGCTGTCGATTTTGAGGTTTAATTACTAAGATTCATTCATTTACTCTGTAATGTTTGTGAGATACAGGCCACATACTTTATTAAGCTGTAGAAATAAATACAGACCTGCAGATATAGTCCCTGCCTGGACTGAGTGACGTACAGAATGTTCTGTGAGCAAAGAAGCTGCTTACCGAGCAGGCAAAGGATCTCCATGGGAGAATTGGTCTTTCATTGACTCTTGAGTACAGAGCAGAAACCTTAAGCAGAGAGGCCTTGAAAAACATTCTAAGCAAAGCAAAAGAATCCAGAAAGCATAATACATTTGAGAAACTGCAGGTAGATTAGAATGATTGGAGCTAATGTCTGGTGTGGAGATATAGGGAGAGAGGATGCTAAGGAGGACATACCAAAGAATATGTACATGATGCTAAGGAATTTGAACTTTACTCTGGAGAAGATGGTAAACTAAGCATCTTTTAAAGCAGATGATTGGGCTGCGTTATAGATAGATCATTCTGCAGCAACATGGAAAATGGCTTTGTTTTAGGCAAGATGGGAAGGCAGGAATACAACTAGAAACTCAATGCAATGATCCCATCTGGTGAAATCAGAAAAATATCTGTGAATTGCACCAATGTAAGCTTCCTGGTTTTGATTCTGTATTGTAGTTGCACAGATTATTAACATTGGAGAATAAAACTGGATGACAGGTACATAGAACCCCCTTTACATTTTTTTAAAAAGTTCAATGAATCTATTAAATTTATAGAAAATATATTTACGGATTCATAAATATATAAGCAAAATAAAACAGATAACAGCTAAAACTTGTTCCTAAAATAGCAAAAGAATCTGTGTTACTACATAGGCGGAAGAATTCACAAGAGACAAGCACAATGCTTCTTCCTCTGAGAAAGAATAGGTACAGATGCAAAGTAGGTTGTGGGATGGAGGGTCAAAGGGTGAAAATGTCCACACCTAATATTTTCTCTTTTTCTTGTGCAGAGAGACTCAACCACCTATTGAAAGCAGGAAGAAGGTGATGGGTTACAAAGCCTGAGTGAGCTGAGGTTTGGAGCAATTACTGAGGGAAGTGGGGCAGGTCCTTTAGTAATATGCCCAAGTTTCTAAACCCCATTTTACTGTCTACAGTGCTGTCCAGTAGAACTTTCTGCAATGATAGAAATGTTCTGTGCTTGCACTGTCCAAAGCAATAGTCATTAGCCACACACGGCTTCTGAGCACTTACAATGTGTTTAATGTAAGAAGTGTCTTTTTTATTGTATTTCATTTTAATTCAAATATTCATATGTTGTTAGTGACAGTGAAGATAAAAGGGTCGCATAGTATAAGAGCCATAGATTTTCTGTTTCCTTTTGGATAGTTAAATAAAGATTCAAGTCTCAAATTCAAAGCCATATAACTTCTTTCCTAATACATAAAGAACAGAGTTTTCTTCCCTTTCTGTGTTGTTCATAATTTAGTTTGCACTCAAACTGTAATTCATTATGTAATCCTTTGTTCTCAAAGCTCAAATAGCCAGCTTTCAAGTAATTGCATTTACTTTTATTTCTGAATTTTGAATCCTCTTTGTCAGGCTTAGATTCCAACGGACTTTGGCAGCAGAGTCATTGGAAGCATGACCTTGAAGGGGGCTGTGGAACCCTGGTCTCTTCCTGCTTCACTTTTCATCCTGGATCATGAACTGAGGGTTTTTCTCCACCATAATGTGCTGCCCCGTCAAAGGCCCAAAGCAATGGGGCCACCTGTTCTTGGACTGGAACCTCCAAAGTCATAAATAAAAAGAAAACTTTTTATAAATTAATTATTTCAGGTTGTTTTTTATAGTGATCCAGAGCTAATACCAGAGCTAATACAGTGCTCATCCCCTCTCTAACTACCAGCATATTCCTGTTTGAGAACCAACCCAGGCATCTTGGTCCTGATCTTTCTCTTATACCTGCTCTCTACACATCTCCAACCCACTCCCATAAGACTCTTTATTTCAATCACATTAAGGATAAAGAATGGGGATACCTATCTATGACAACATTTAACCCAGAAATTCAGTTAGTCCAGAGGATCAACAGCTCCTTGTTCAAATCTTACAGTGACTTCTCAGATGACAAGTTTGGGCGAAAAAAAAGCCAACTATCCCTCTAATCCATTTTCACTAGAGCCCCCAGTTTCACGAATAAAAACTGCTGCACTGGCATGCTCTAGAAGATTCCCCTCCCATCAGCAGTTCTTTGTAAGAGGTACGCCTAATGTCTGTTGACAAAAGTTCCTGGGGTTGCAACTTCCTGACAATATGACTGGTTAAAGCAGTTTTGGAAATAGAGGCTTTAAGTGATTCAGAGCCTCTCCCACATATCGGCTTTCCACAGAGGCTCTGAAGAAGGTTTGCAGTGTGGTAGGCCTTTTCCTTGTAACCTGAGAGCTTGGCTAATGACCCTCAAGTGTTTTTTCTGATGGGGAAAAGCAACCTAGTGGAGCCTTTCAAGGATAGCTTGCACATTAAAAATTGATGCAGCACTTTAAAGTTTAATATTTAAACAAAATGTTACTGTTTACTGGTACCGCACATTTTCATAGGTACCTAATGTGAGGGAAGTCTTTTTACTGTTCAAAGTATATATTCCTAAAAAGTTAATTCAGGGTTTTTAGCCTCTGATTTTTCTATAACAATGTAGCTTTTTTTTTTCCTTCAGCCTAGATACAATATTTAAGATGTAACAACTGAGTGCTTTCTCTTCCAATAACCATGAGTGTTGGAAAAACCCAAATCTGTGCTTCAACACCAGCCATTCTCAACCTTTATTTCTGCAAAATATTTGAATGTTGCTATTAACTGTAAATGATAGTACAAAATCTAATTACTTTTAAAATGCATGCACATTAAACAGGGTTTGTTTTTTTTTTTCCTGAGGAAGGAAGTAGAATATACATGGCAAAAACAAAAAGTTACCAAAAATTTGAAGTAGGGATATGTAACAAGCCGCAAAGCAATGGTGGGGTAAGCAAAGAGAATGATGGAAACTACCTATAATTAAATATTCCCTCTACATTCAGGTGGTACCTAAACAGATAAAACATTAATTGTAGGCTATAAAATGGTGTGGCTGGTTCCATAAGCCAAACACAAGAAGCATATCAATAAATTCCCACGGCACCTTCTGTGTGCTATGTCTAGAACTAGAGAAACGTGTGTTCCATATAAGTATCACTGAGGGTTCTTCTTCAAAGAAATGAAGACTCTCTCCAGCTCAGACCAAAGGGGATTCACAGGAAGGACAATCAGGTATGCCAGAGAAGTGACAAGGGCTGGGGAAGGAGCCTGCAAGGTGTCAAACAGCCAAGACAAACCCTCAGCCTGGGTAGGACAGGGTATCGCTGGACCTTGGCAGTTTTTCCCAGTGCCATCTGCCTTCCAGGTTGCTTTGTCAAAAGTCAAAATCCCAGGCGGGAGCATCTGACGGGTCAATGCTGCTTCTAACTGTACTGGAAAAAAGGGATGGTGGGGGGGGGGATCGTTCCATTCGGAAGCTTTTTTTTTTTTTTGGATTGTGAATCAAAAGCTTGTGCTTTAGTCATCTTTTTGCTGCTGTGATTACAAGACTTGACAAGAACAATTTTGTCGTGGAAAAGTTTATTTTGGAGCTCACGGTTTCAGAGGTTTTAGTCCAGAGATGGCCAATTCTATTCCTCAGGGCCCCAGGGGAGGCAGAATATCATGGAAGAAGGATGTGACAGAGGAGAACAGCTGGGAACATGGCACCAGGAAGCAGAGAGAAAGAGACTCCACTTGCCAGATATAAAATATATACCCCAAAGTTACTCCCCCAGGGACCCACCTCCTCCAGCCACACCCTACCTGCCTTCAGTTAACACTCAGTTAATCCCTATCAGGGTATTAATTCACTGATTGTATTAAAGCTCTCATAACTCAGTCATTTCACCACTAAACCTCCTTGAATTGTCTTACACATGAGCTTTTGAGGGACACCTCACATCCAAACCATAACAGCTCAGCACTGCTCTGAGACACTGGAATACAACCGTAGATTATACATCTCTACCTTCATGGCACATACACGTTTTGGTGGGGGAGTCAGATATAAAATCAGTGAGGAAGACAGTAAAGAAAGACAAGAATATGCAGGATCATAGATAGAAAGCTGTGACTACTACAGGTATCATGATCATCAAAGGCACTTTTGAGGAGACAACATCCAACCAGGATGTGAAGCAAGTGAAGGAGTGGGCCATAGGACCACCCAGGAAACCAGTACTCCAAGGTTAACAGCAATGGTAAAAGCCAGAAGCAAGAATGAGTTTGGAAAGGTAGAAGAATTGGAGTCCAAGTAATAGAGAGAAAGGTAGAGTTAGATTACATTTTCCTCCCCTGATGTTTCCTCCCACATAAAGGAGGCTCCATTAGCATGGCACCCACTGGCCAAACTTTCATTCACTCACAGGAGAGGAGAAGTTCCCCAATGGGAAACTGAGATGCTTTTAGGGAAGGATGCAGCTTCCTAGTTGAAGGATATCACTGGAATTTTCAACCTCATCTAGATTGGTGGGGACCATTCAATCTTGATGTGAATTTGTAGTTCAATGGCCAAAATACTTTTCAACCTCATCTTTACTTTAACAAACTCATCTTGTTAATAATTCTATCAGATCAATTTAAGCAGAAAGAAAGTGTAATGATTTATCATATGAATGCACAGTGTTCACTCTTATCAAAAAGCAAGGGCAACAGGGGCTGGGGTTGTGGCTTAGTGGTGGAGTGCTTGCCTCACATGTGTGAGGTACTGGGTTCGATTCTTGGCACCACATATAAATAAATGAATAAAATAAAGGACCATTAACACTAAAAAATATTTTTAAAAAAAAAGCAAGGGCAGGGCTAGGGTTACAGCCTGTGTGAGGCACTGGGTTCAATTCTCAGCACCACATATAAAAAAATAAAATAAAGGCCCATCAACAACTTTAAATATATATTTTTTTTTAAAAAAAAGAAGAAAGCAAGGGCAGAGGCTGAGGTTGTGGCTCAGTGGTAGAGCACTTGTCTAGCACATGTGAGGCACTGGATTCAATTTTCAGCACCACATAAAAAAAAATAAAGATATTTTTTTAAAGAAAAGCAAGGATGAAGTGTCAAAATGCATTCTACTGTCATGTATAACTAGTTAGAACAAACTTAATTTTTAAAAAATGACTCTGCAATTTCAGGCATCCACTAGGGGTAGTGGGATGTAACTCTGTGGATGAGAAAGGAGTGCTGTAGTAAGCTGTACAAAGTCATAGGTTATGATAATAAAAATGGGAAATGAAGTTGTGGTCTATTAGTTAGAGTTTTGAGTAACATGCCAAGAACCTTAGTACTCATGAAAGTCCTGTAATCATGGTGTTTCTGTAGGGAACTCAGGCCTCAACTATCACATAAGCTCTGCCTTTACTTCATTATTTGTTAGGTATCATTAAACATGGTAGCCACTATTATCTGTCTAATAGGAATGAACATTTATAGGTTTCAATAGTGGAAGTAAATTATATAAATGTCTGTATTGAAATAAACTATGCACAACTTTAAAAAATTAAAAAAAAGAAAAAGAAAAGCAAGGGCAGATGAGATTATTTTTCAGATTTATTAAAGTAAATTGTTTGTAAGAAGACAAAATACATGAAAACTTGCCCACCCTATCATTTAAGACTTCCTTGGGAAGACCTATAGATGGAATAGAAAAATCAGAGGGGAGACCTACCTCTTACATTAAAGGCTAACAGACTCTCCTACCAGGATTCACAGGCCTTTTTAGGTAACTTAGCTGTAGAAATATACCTATAGGTACCTATAAGCCTCATTTATTTCCCTCGGATAAGATACAAGAATAGAGGCAATAAAACAATAACCATTAGGGAGCAATCCTATATAGAAAGGGCAGTAATAACTTTTTGGTCCTCAGATTGCCCCTTTGCCAAAAATGCCTGATTTGGAGTTGCAAAGGGAACTAAATGATTAAAAAAAAAAAACTACCACTACACATGAGTCTAAAGAAGAAAAAAAAAAATACCAAGTTAGTGTCCCAACGCAGAAGATGAGCACTTTGTTCAATATTGCTTTCTTAGCAACCATGACTATTAAAAAGGGCAAAAATGGCAAGCACTCAATTCACCTGAGTGTGGGAACGTTTGCCTCTTTGTCCTCTTTTGATTCTTTATCCAGCGATGGAGGAGCCAGTGTCAGAATGTCAAGGAAGTATGGGGCAACTTTAACAAAGGCAACTGTGAACAGGAGCATAATTTTGGAAAGCTACCCAGACTCCATTCACTACTTAAAATAATTCACTTGTCCATCATTTAGACACCTATGGGCTTTAGCTTACTATTTTGGTTCCCATTAAAATGCAAATCCCCAGGGCTACGGATATGACCCAATGGGTGAGTGCTTGCCTAGCATGAACAAGGCCCGGAGTTCAATCTAACACTGTCAAAAAGAAAGAAAAAAATCCCTGGACTGGTGGATTTCAGATACTTGTTAGGTTTCACTAAAAGACCTGGAAAAACTCACAGGGGGTCTGGCTCTCTGAGGAACAGTGGTATCAGTGGATTAGGGGGTAGATTGAGTTGGATTGTCAGTTTTTTTAATTGCCTAGGACTAGCCCTTTTCCCTGTTACCCACCTAGAATCGGGTTTTCCTCTACAGTGAGCCCATTCCAAGGGCCC